TCCAAACATACAGAAATCGACTCCATACCGAATCAGAATTAAGGTTAAAATCGTTCAAAATTATAAGTGACTTAATTTGTGAAACAAACCCGTCTATCACATTAAAATTAAAAATATATTTCTTTTTACACTGTATTTATTGTTACTTTCTTTAACAGTCCACAGGGCTTCGTAGAGCCAAAAGTTTGTGAAACTGTGTCCTATATAAAAGAGCATATTAAAAGTCAAGCGTGGGCACTCCCGGATCATGTCGACTATCACTTCACACATGGTAGAAATTGACTTAACTTCTAGAAAGCGACTTGAAATTGTCTTAATTAAAGTATGCTCCAAGATATAGCCAATCTTTTCTGTGACTTTTCTAACATATGGTAATACAGAAGTATTCGCTCATCTGTGGCTGGCTACACTCGGTGTAGGTATAGAAAGGAGACCCATATAAATAAATATTCATGTGGTGATTATTACCAAAGACAATGTAATCACTACGTTTAAGAGACGAGACTCCCATACTAGCCAAAAATATCAGTTTACGCGGCACTCCAATACCAACTATACCACAAAGATGTCAAACAACATGAGTACCAACGTAACGAGCCAAATAGTGCTTAACCAAGCTAGCTTAGCTTCTTATCGATATCGATAAAAGATACTAGGTAGAAACCGAGGTTTCCACTTAATATTTTTTTATTGGTTTTAGTAGGTAAGTATCGAGTCCGTATTTATGTCCAATGTTGATAAGGGGATATTTGGTAGAGGATTGGACTTTAATACGGACCCGAAATAAGATAAAAAGCGGTTTCTGTTAATTAAAATAAAATTTTATTACTGAAATGAAATTTGTTTCTTGATTCTTCAGCCAACAGCTGTTGTCCTGCTGTACACAAGTCTGGAAATAATTGAAATATAAAAGTAGAATCAAAATCCAAAAATTATTTTAGTTTTTTTGCATACTCAGCGCACGAAATTAATTATATGACGTATCAATATTACAGAGATTGTTTCAAAATTCTGCAAAATTCGCCTATTCCGATCCTTGGTTATTTATGTAGGCACACCATTCAAATATGTAAAACTTTGTGCCCCTACTATTTCACGCAACATTTTACTTCTTATTTTTTTCAATGATAAACATTAACGTAGTTATCGATATGTGGATATTACAGTTGCAGTACATCACTAGCACACAATTTAAATGAGATACATTTATTAATTTTATTTGTTCTTAGTCTGCTCTACTTACATATGGCTGCAAAGTATCATATTTAAGTGCTTACATGGGCTTCATCTAAGGGAAATCTCGCCATAAACATCCTTTTTTCAAGAATCGAATGACTTGCTCGATTTTCACCAATTTCACAGGTCACCGTCTTTTTGGCATTTTGAATTAAAAGTACAACTCTGATCACCTGTCATTGGTTTTCGTGAGAAAGTTTACTCTAAACAATTTAAATTTACAATGAAATAAACATTTACATTCAAAATACGTGAGTGCGAAATTAAGTTTTAACAAACAACATGGCACTTCTTGTATTGCAAGAAAGAGAAACCGCATTGAGGGAGAGTGATAGCAATGTCCGCCATTATTTGCCGCGTAAAGTCCATAGAAAAATTTTTTGTTCCTAGTTTCGCCAGACTGATTATTACCACGCATGTAACTACTGTACGTTCGACCCTAGTCGTTTCACACCCTCATTTAAACCGTTACAAATAGAGTTGCTTTCCTTTAAGGCCAGGTTTTTTCTCTGCGGGCATACTCGTCAGACGGTCTCAGGTTATTGGCGTGAAGTGGAAGTATTATATTTTCGCGTTTCTTGAGGTGAGGGAGATGACCGGAGCCCAAATTTATAAAGGTTGGCAACGCATTCGCAATAGATTTGATGTTATAGATGTCCATGGCTTTCAGTAATCACTTAACATCAGGTTAACCACTAGGACCACTTTTCACAAAATATTGCAACTCTCGGTGGTGGCTCACCGCAGAAAATACCAACAGAACCTCTAAGCCTTTGGAAATATGACCACCAGTGATATCATCCCGTCCACCAACACCTATTCAGCGTGCCAACATACAAAATGAGGTCACCACGGGGCAAAAATGTTTCTAAAATTGGATTAATCGTTTGAAAAATTGCATACTTGCAAAGGAATAATATTTTTAGAAACAATTTATTTTGACCTTTCATTCAAAAGTACATTTGTACTTTTCTGATTTATTCCGGAAACTTTTTGTGCGCCCACATGACTGAAAGCGAACACATCATTCAATAAAGATAATAAATTAACCAATTCGTTTTTGTAAAAAATACGATTGTAGACCTTACTGATCGACGAATTCATGCGTGTCGAGACCCAAATTTGTTTTCGCAGTTTATTACAAAATCTTAGATTTGACGTTAAAAAGAACCTTTCAGGGTTTGCCATGATGCGGTTTTTTAAGAAGCTTGCAATTATTTATTACCGATAACCAATTTTCAGTACATATAAACAGTCAAACTATGGAGTTCAGTTTAAAAGGCATTTCTTGCGCTTTTCAATTTGTTATTTAATAAAAAATAAAGGTTTTAGTGGAACATTTGGTTCAAAATGAAAATATGATATTTAAAATGCACGTTTATTTATAATCCAGAAGAATCACAATAATTAAAAGCGATTACAAAGTTTATCCACTTGGCCAATAATAGGAGTGTGAGACATCAGCCTGATTAATAGAAATGTTTGAAATATATTATTTCCCGTCATGGCCACAAGTTTTGAATTTTTGTGCGTTATACAAAGATAATTCTTATAAAACAAACAAAATGTTTTCCGTAGACCAAAGATATGAGAAAAACAAACGTTTAATGTGATTGTTAAAATGTGATGATTCCACGTGTCAATGCGTGCATTGTCGTTTAAACGTCGCATTTCATTTTTATTATATACACTTGTAGGTTCTCGTGCTTGTAGAATATCATATTATGCGATACAAGTTATAATAATAATAAAGAAGGAGTACAAATAAGATATTTGATCATAAAAATGAGTTTTAACTACTTGGATACTTATTCGTAAAGATGACTACATTAAAATTATAATCTTAAATTGTCGAAACTAAAGGAATTTCTGATTTCGTATATAAATCAATAAAATAATAATTTTTAGAACTTCACACCACATACTCATAGTCAAAATAACATAAAGTGTAATCTAAACAGAAATCTTTTAAAAGTAAAATTAAATAACAAAACATATTTACAATTTAGAAATAAATAATTACAAAAAATAATATTAATATTTATTAAAAATAAAATCTAATATGTAGATGAAAATAAATTTTAATTTATGACATTACGATGAACATATACTGGAATGGGTTACAACTAACAACGTTATTTTTGTAAGCTTACAATACACTACACAGAGTTATCTAAATTTATTTAAGATGGAAAAAATTTAGACAAGTTATCTGGTTCAATACATTTTTCACTTAATAAACGTAGCACTGAAAAAAAAAATTAGTGAGTGATGCTTTTATATGAAACGACATGCTAATTTAATTTTTGCTCTATGTTGGCAGATTGATCTTTTTTGAAACAATAAAATGAGAATACAAAGAAGTATCTGCTACAGCACTAAAATCTTTCGATAAAAACGAAATTATTAATTGTTGCATAAATCCCAAAATCAACGCGTTAGAAATGATTAAATCCAAACATGAATGGTTCTGATTTAAAGAAACTGACCTTAGACTAACGTTAAATGCTGTTCTCTATCATCTTTATCTTCCAGAGAAATCACTAATTCTAACGTATATTTATCGGTTGTAATACATTTACATACACGAATTAACCTCTCTAGAAAACTATCCGATTATAATCACAATGATACAATTGTGTTTGTAATGATGACACAAGCCAATCCGCTTACTGACTAATCCATAACGGCCTAATTAACACTAGAAAGAATCAAGATCCAACAATCGAATTCGATCCGCTAAGATGGGTGATATTCTTTCGTCATTCCATGATGTACTCGAATTTGAGCGGTTTATATAAGAGTTTAATTCATCACTACGTACAATAATTATATCGAACATAAAGTATTCCGTAACGGCAGACACGATGGATGTGTTATAATAAACATTTGAATAATTAAAATAATGAAATGATAACTTCTGCTTCTACATTTAAGATGTGTGATCAAAAGTGAAAGAATTATATTAATTTAAATTACCTTTACGAAAAGGAAGAAGTTATTTTTATTGATTTCCAACATCCTTAGAGGGGGAAATTACAACAAAAAAAATAATATGCCTGTATTACTTGAGCTGCCTTAGCTGGCGATGACAAGAACATTGAATCCAATAACAGTATCTGAATATACTTAAACCTTAATAGCCTTAATTATATAAGTCTTAACATTATAAAAAACAAGCCGTTTTGCGTCAAGTAATTGAAACACAATTAACGTGGGGTCAAAATGTTGTTTACGGGAGAAGTTAGATTGCCATTCTTACATTGTTTCTTTTTTGTGTTTACTCGAGTACTGTACCTTACGGATTTTGCTACGATCTTTTTTTTACCCAACAATATCAATAAAATAAGTAAAATAGTTATATTTTGAAATTGAAATTGTTACGTCAAAAAATTGTTCACGACATTGAGCCTACGGTAGCAAGGGGATAGTTATTTGTCACACTACATAGAAACATGGAAGCAAAGTTCGCTCCCACTTAGAAGGAATAAATTTTGATACATTCTTTTCTATTAAAAGCATACAATAAATTTTTCAACCATATATCTCATGAATTACGGTAGGTAAATCTGCTATTTGTACACGATATTTTTCGCTGTTATTTATCAGAATTGGAGCCAAAAATGGTATTTATCGTGTACATATAGAAAAAATAAAATCTGCTGTGGGGTTAAAACATAGTACTACATGTTTATCTTCCTCGCGCCGCTGCTTGTCCGAAATACTCTAATATTATCGCGAAGAGATTTAATTTCGCCTGGTTACATATTGTACGCTATGTATATAGCGTCAATCTGGTCGGAAAGGAATCCATCTCTTAGATGCATACGTTGCTTTTCGCCGCGTGAATTGATTGGAACCACTCCCGGGTCAACCACGACCACCACTCCAACGATCAGGTGGTGCTCTTCCAGGACAGTGTTAGTGACAAGCGGGACCAAGTTCAAAGCTTCGCTGTCATTTCCGTCCAGCTCCACCACCACCACGAGCAAATTAGTCCAGGTGAAGACAGCGCTAAGGGAAAGTAATAAAAGGTTACAATGTAATAGTAATTCAAAAACTAATCATTCGATATGTTTGTTTAATAGTAAGGTAATAAATATAGTAGCCATGTGAATTCACCTTTGGTCAAATCGGGCTATGGAACTGTTTTTGGTAATAGTAAACGCTTACGGGGAACGAGTAAATACACTCACCATTCGGCTATCTTCTTGTGGCACCTCATGACGGAGTTCTCGATGTCGATCGGGTGGTAGCGCATGCCGCGCAGCATGATCGTCTCGTCCAGGGCGCCCACCACGAACACCGCATCGTGAGTGTCGTGTGTGTCGGGCGCCATGCCGACACTGCCACAAGCAGACGCCAGCGATTCAGTGTCGCTGTCGCGCGAGAGCAGCGACTCGTCGCAGCTCGCGCCGGTCGCGCTTATCTCCGTCCGCCGCAGAAAACCCAAGTAGCCCGTGCGGGCGTACACCTCCCCCGTATTCCCCGTCACCAGCTGGGCGCTGAAATGGTCCGCGTAGTCGCTCTCGTCGCCGTAGATCGTGAAGTAGCCGCTCGCGTTATGCGGCGACTGCACCCATATTTCACCTAGATGCGAGTCACCGCACTGGCCCTTGGTTTCCGGATTCGCCGTGATCACCTTCACGCCGGGCAGCAGTTTCCCAGACTCCATCAGGCAGAGGGAGTGCGGACTGCCGCGCTCCACCAGAGACACGCGGTCGTTGCGCAGCGCTCGCAGATCGACGTACACCGTAGACGGCTCTGGACTGGAGGCGCCTTGCAGGCAGATCGCGATGTTTACGCGGCAGCCGAAAGATGTTGACACCGCCCTCGGACTAAGACCCAACGCGGAGAATAGCTTCGAAAATGAATTCGTCAGGTTGATCCTCGGTCTCTCTTCGGCAACCACCACGCATGTCCTCACGCAGGCCAAATTGATACCTTTCGATTTCAGTTGATTGACGGAGCTGCCTAAGCCTTTTGTGCAGAGCTCCATTACGCCGTATGAGCAGAAGGTATCACGCACTTTGTATTGCGACACAGCACTAAGCCAAAGTGCTGGATTGATTTCCACTTCTGATGGCGGGATAAGAATGGAATGATGACCAGAATAAATGCTACTCAAGCACCATAGCGCAAAGCCAAGTCCACAGTAGGGGTCGAGACAGAGTGCAATATGACGCGATGGGTACAGCTCGCAAGCTATCTTCATGGACCGGCAAAGCGAGGTGACGGCTGCGTGTGACATCTTGATGCCGGCGAGCATTCCGGTGGTCGACACACTGAAATCCAAATATGCTAACATTTCAGCAGTTGGCGCACGATATAGAATCGGGAGTTTCTTTTTAGGCATGTCATCTGTATCTAGAGTGATCGGCCATGCTTTACTGTCAAGAACATTGCTAGCTTCCTTGGATCGTAGCAGTTTTATCACAGATTGGTTGGAGAGGACTAGTGTCGCTTTGCTGACATCGACTATCATACGAACAGTTGGCAGAGTTGTGTGCAGATTTTGCGGGTGGGGTGGTCGAATAGTAACTGGGACTGCACCCACATACAAGCATCCATAGAAGGCGCATATGAGATCCAATCCCGGTGGAAATATTAGAGCCACGTGATCTCCCGTGTTCACGCGCCCCTTTTCCAGTAGCAAATTCCCTATTCGTTCAGCCTTCTTGTGCAGTTCTGCGCAGGTTAGAATTTTAGAAACGGCCCCCTTCGAATTTAGTAATGTAAATATAACATGGTCAGAAGTGCTCTGGGCGCGCCATCTCAGAATCTGTGATATGAACTGATACTGAAAAAGAAAAACGTGGCGTACATTAAAATGTTCAAGTTCAATAAAAGCGCTCTTCTAAATATTATAGGTCAAACCTTCCGAGCGGCGTCAGAGTCGTCTGTGTAGCCCATATCTCGGCCCTGCGCAGACGCGAGTCTATTTCCTTGTACCAGATTTCCAACTATGACCGAGGCCGGGCCAACATCTGCGGATATTCCAACTAGTCACAATTTACTTCAAAGCGACTAATGAAATAAAAATTAAAAGAAAACAATAATTCTAAAGTAGACTTAATAAAAAAAAAATAAGATTCATGCCAGTTATGGTTATAATTATTTTCGTCATACTTTTTAATTATAAAGGTTTTTGATTCCCCTTTACTAATGTTAAATAATGTTAATATTAAACAGTTAATACCTGAGTGTATTTCCCTTGGCTTCGGTAGGTTAGTCACGCAGGTGTGCGGACACATGAGGACATTAGCTGGATGTAATGTCCCTTCTAGAAAACGTCGTTTGCATTCGCTGAGATGGATGCCACCGAGTGGTGTTTTCGGAAGATAGTTTGGTTGCACCAGAGCGAGGCAGTAGATGCCTACTTGGTGGATCGAATCCACAGCTTGGAGTACACGAGACATCCACTGGAACGACTGTGGGTGGAATAACCTTTACCTGATACCTAAATACGAAAGGCTGAATGAAAATAGTAAGACACATGTCGCTTAGAGTGTACTTTTGGAATATTTTCAACACTAGCACACGCTTAACGGCACAAGTCCTTAAATTCAGCCTTTCGTATGTATTTTTTTTAAATGAAACAAAAAACTATAACATAATTAAAGTAAACTAATAAATTAAAAATAAATAAAGACACAAGACAAATTCGAGCACGAGAATATGGCGAAGAATTTTAAAACGGTTTCTTAAAAAATATTATTGTTACATATCTGACACGCGAAGATGATTCATAAAAAATAATTCTTTAAAATGGGAATAATCCAAGCTTTGTGAGCGTTTATCGTTGCGGCTGCTGTAAATACGATAAAAAAAATGCACTTACCTGCATAGTGAAAGGTAATGAAGGAAACGAGTGTTTATTGAATAATTTAATTGGTTACATACATTAAAGAACATTTTAAATGACTACAATAACATTTAATACTGTGAACGGGTTATGTTGAATCACTACAAAAATCACTACATGTCATCTACTTCCATTTATTTCTTCTACGATAACGGTTGCTAAAATTATGATTAATATAATACTTGATATAATAATTGAAAGATTGAAACCTTGAAACATTAATAATACTCATCACTACCTTCTACTTTTTTTTAATTTTTTTGAGAGCTTACATTTCTGCTTCTACTTTAATTGTAGTTACAACATAGATTATTTTACGACGGTGAGATCAAAATATCGTAACGTTTCTTAAAAATATTGGATGATAATATATTGAATGATTAATTACTAAATGCTACATGTAAGTGACTTGTTTCTACTATAACAATATGATTATAAATACGATTTAAATTACACAAAGAGATCAAAATGCGAATAATTAAGACCTAACATTCTAATGACTCAAATACTTCTTAAATATAACTTTAAAACTTTATGCAACTAGTTTTTTCTAATAAAAGCTTGACATAAACTATCTTTATCTAATAGAGTTGAGATCAAAGTATTTGACTACCAGATTCTATTGGTAAATCTGATATTGATCGTTATTACTGTCTCTAAGTCAGCGGTAGAACATGTGCCGAAAATGCTCTCCCAATTTCTAAAGCTTGATATTCGGCTATGAATGTCGGCGAGTAATCACTTATTACGTAACTTTTTGCAACTATTATGATGATTATTATTATATGCAGACATTGCAATCTTATAATAATATGAAGGTTCTAATTTAATTATATAGCCTAAACACTATTGCTACCTTTTTTTTTTAATTGCATGATTTTTCCCATTACAATAACAACGAGAATGTAACTATCTCCTATTAAGAATAACTATTAAATGACTTATAATTTATTTTTCATTTCCGTTACTTTTTTTTTACTGCGCCACCAAAATTTATATAAGAAAAAGCGAAAGTTCAATGACGTTATAAGTACCTCATGAAAAAAGACTGACAGATAGAATAATGCATATAGAAGAGAGCATGAGAGCATAACTTTTTTTAATTTTGATAAAAGGCGTTTACAGCGTATTTGTGTCACTAGATTCTTCACTGCTTTCCGAGCTACCAAGGCTTACTTCCAAATAACCTCTTAGAAAGAGAGCCCGCGGGTCAATTCTGTTAAACTCTCTTAAATCGAAGTCCCTTAAATTATATTCGTCACTTTCGTAATCGGGCAATTCATCAACTTCATTGCCCACTGGCGGTTCGTCGGGTACATTAACAGGGGCAACGGGATTATCTTGTTCTGGAGGAGCTACGGCTACTTTAGCACCAGCATTATCGTTATCATCATCATCGTCATCATCGTCATCATCATCTTTACCTACTTCGCTATCCTTTTTCTCATCATCGTGGGTCTTAGGGGAGCTACAGCCTGGTTTACTATCAGAGTCGTTGGATCCACCAACGGCAGCATCGGCTTGCTCCGGAGCAATACTCGTGGCATCAGGCACACCGAGAGAAATGTTAGTCGATTTGTTATTATCAACATCAACATTTGGTGCGTTATTATTTCCCCTGCCACGTTCACTGTTCACGAATGAGCCGCAACACTCCTTACTACATGTTGCATCATCACACAAGGGAAAGTTCGGCACAGTTCCTATTAGAGATTTGTTGGCTGGAGGGCTTTCGACAGTCCTGGAGGTATTAGGGCTTTCGGTAGCCCTGGAAGTACTAGGGCTTCCGATAGCCCTGGAAGTACTAGGTTTTTCGCCATCGTCATAATGTTGTTTAGAGTGTGTACTAGATACAAAGTCGCGATCTAGTTCACAATCAGATAAGTCATAGTTTGCAATATCATTAACAATATTTTGTTCGGTGTCCTGTTTTTCTCCTTCTTCCTTAACATCAGCAAATGCAACATCCTCTCCAGGTCCATCCCCCCGCTCGGTGGCAGCAGGTTTCGCCTCCTTACTAGCATCAGGGCTGGCAGCTTCCGCCTTCACATCTGAAAAGAGAAATAGGTTAGTAATTGCCCTACATTTTTGATAATATTCCAGGCATATATTTACCTTCTATACTGCGATATTCCCAAACTGCTGGATTTATTCATCACAGGTTCTTAGGTCAATTAAACTCTGCCGCTAAATCAGCAAATTGCATATTCATTGCAAATAGTTATGTTCTAAAATAATGTAGAAAATTCGTCGCCTTATTTAATTCACAATGACTAATACCCGCACCACGAACACTGTGTATATTAAAAATGCTAACTAATCGAAATTCGTGTGATCAATGCCAGTGTGGCTTACCTCCTCCTCGCCACAGTCAGGTCTTTGCTCAGCTACTATACAAATGCGCTCATCGCGAAGCACTCTAACGGAGAACACGGCGATCCGTCCCCGATATATGAACTTCATAGGTTCGACAGCGAGCACAGTGGCTATTATGTCGTCCATATTATGCTTGCGCCCGGTCACCGTCATAAGGCCGTCGCGGGAGCCGCATACAAACACTAGCCCTACAAGATGTTATCAAATATAAACTTAATAATTCATAAAAGTTTACTTACCAGTGCCTCTTTTATATGTGCATAAAATTAAACACTTACCACCAGGACCGAGGAAACCAAGTAAGCCACTTCGAACGTAGTGCTCCTCACCTATCGGTTCCCCGTCCGAATCTAACGGCCTTACTCGGAACACAGTATTGGTTAGTCCCGGCAGGCCCCAGTACCCGGAGCCCGTAGCGCCGGAAAGTACGCATATCTCGCCGACTTCGTCTGTCTTGCAAAGGTAGGCGGGTCCTTCCATTTTGACCACCACTATTACACCTAAAGATAAAACATATTTCTATCAGATGCCTGCTTGCAAAACAATAATTTTTTTGCCAAATTTTGTTGTTGTCAAATAGCCAAAGCCAATAGTTACATACAATATTAATAACATAAAAGTCCTAATAATTGTGTAGTTATTAAAATACATACATCAAAAAATCTCTTCTTTTAAATCATTGCCCTTATTGTAGTATAACATTATCCCGTGTTGTAAGAGCATATTACGAACATAAATTTCACGTGGAAACATCCAGATGCGAAACAACTATCTGTGGGTCACACGACAAGTTGTCCCCTGTGGGAATCGAACCCACGACCCCCGACGCCGAAGCCAATGTCTTGACAACGGCTCCACGGAGTCATCTATGTTCAGTCTATTTTTATTTTTATTTGATTCATTTTACTTTGGCATTCAATTAAAAATAAAATGTACACAAACATCGATATCTTGGTAATAAACTAACAACTACAATAGTTCCCGCTTTCTGGACGAGACACTTCAACAAAACATTTGATATATAAATAAATCTTGAATGGTAGTAGATATTAGGAAATCAAAAATTTTACAATTTCATTCATTAAAAAGACACTAAAATATGTAAATAGCACAATTGATCTGACCATGATATACAGCGTGTCTTCCATATTTAAAGAAGTACAGCCGCACTACCTTGAAGTTTTCTAATTAAATTAATAGCGCATGCGCAACGTCACAAGTGGATGAACAAGATGGCCGCCGGAAAGCCTTGTGGTCATTTACTGGCCTAAAGTTCTTCCACAATGGAAACGGATTAACCGCACAATACGCCAAGTGTTGTATAAAGTCACCATTTTCTCTATCTTCTTCCGTGAAATAATTAAAGAAGTACAGCTGCATTAGCTTGTTCAAGTTGCCTATGTAAATTAAGGGCGCATGCGCAACACCACAAACGGATGAACAAGATGGCCGCCGGAAAGCCTTATGGTCATTTACTGGTCTAAAGTTCTTCCACAATGGAAACGGACAATGCGCCAAGTATTGTATAAAGTCACCATTTTCTCTATCTTCTTCCGTGAAATAATTAAAGATGTCAGCTGCATTAGCTTGTTCAAGTTGCCTATGTAAATTAAGGGCGCATGCGCAACGTCACAAACGGATGAACAAGATGGCCGCCGGAAAGCCTGGTGGTCATTTACTGGCCTAAAGTTCTTCCACAATGGAAACGGATTAACCGCACAATGCGCCAAGTATTGTATAAAGTCACCATTTTCTCTATCTTCTTCCGTGAAATAATTAAAGAAGTACAGCTGCATTAGCTATTTCAAGTTGCCTATGTAAATTAAGGGCGCATGCGCAACACCACAAACGGATGAACAAGATGGCCGCCGGAAAGCCTTGTTGTCATTTACTGGCCTAAAGTTCTTCCATAATGGAAACAGATTAACCGCACAATGCGCCAAGTATTGTATAAAGTCATCATTTTCTCTATCTTCTTCCGTGAAATAATTAAAGAAGTACAGCTGCATTAGCTTGTTCAAGTTGCCTATGTAAATTAAGGGCGCATGCGCAGCACCACAAACGGATGAACAAGATGGCCGCCGGAAAGCCTTGTTGTCATTTACTGGCCTAAAGTTCTTCCATAATGGAAACGGATTAACCGCACAATGCGCCAAGTATTGTATTAAGTCATCATTTTCTCGATCTTATTCCGTGAAATAATTAAAGAAGTACAGCTGCATTAGCTTGTTCAAGTTGCCTATGTAAATTAAGGACGCATGCGCAAAACCACAAACGGATTAATAAGATGGCCGCCGGAAAGCCTTGTTGTCATTTACTGACATAAAGTTCTTCCATAATGGAAACGGAATAACCGCACAATGCGCCAAGTATTGTATAAAGTCATCATTTTCTCCATCTTCTTCCGTGAAATAATTAAAGAAGTACAGCTGCATTAGCCTGTTCAAGTTGCCTATGTAAATTAAGGGCGCATGCGCAGCACCACAAACGGATGAACAAGATGGCCGCCGGAAAGCCTTGTTGTCATTTACTGGCCTAAAGTTCTTCCGTAATGGAAACGGATTAACCGCACAATGCGCCAAGTATTGTATTAAGTCATCATTTTCTCGATCTTATTCCGTGAAATAATTAAAGAAGTACAGCTGCATTAGCTTGTTCAAGTTGCCTATGTAAATTAAGGACGCATGCGCAAAACCACAAACGGATTAACAAGATGGCCGCCGGAAAGCCTTGTTGTCATTTACTGACATAAAGTTCTTCCATAATGGAAACGGAATAACCGCACAATGCGCCAAGTATTGTATAAAGTCATCATTTTCTCCATCTTCTTCCGTGAAATAATTAAAGAAGTACTGCATTAGCCTGTTCAAGTTGCCTATGTAAATTAAGAGCGCATGCGCAACACCACAAACGGATGAACAAGATGGCCGCCGGAAAGCCTTGTGGTTTACAGCTTTCTGATTCGTAAAAACATCATCCAGTCAAATTCAAACTTTATAATACAACCGAAAAGAATGGGAAATTTTTCTTGTAAAATGTAACACAAAATCGCGAAGCATACGAACTCGTTCACAGCATTGTGTCGGACCTGAAACGAGGACTGGATACTTACATGACGGCATAACCTGCCCGCAGTCTTGGAGCGTGAGGGAGGTGAGGGAGTTTTCAGCGTCGACGCGCACGACGCCGTAAGAGAGCCCAGACATGGAGAGGACACCTCGTCCGGCGGAGGACCCACCCCGCCCCGCGCGACGCACGCACACCGTCAACGACTCGCTGCTGCACGCACACGGGCATATCGCGTCGCCTCGCACACCTATGGGTAAATGGAAGTTAGATTATGATCGCCATATTCATATTAAAAAAGATCGTTTCATTGTCCTAGTCAGGAGGCACTACCCGAGACCATAGATGAAGTGCCGATTTGGATATTTTTGGAAAAAGGAAAACCAATAGTTTCGATTGATAAATTCAACGAAATTTAGAAACATGAGAGATTGATTCCGAAAGTCACTATAAGCTGGTAGTTAAAAATATGTATTTGAGGTCCAGCAAAAAAAAAGTGACTCCATTTCGAAACAGCATTCAAAAGTTGATTTAAATGAAAATTAATACCGACAGACCCGATTATATACGCGCGGATAAGCCGTAATATCTTACCTTCTACAGCTATGAGAACAAAGAGCTGTATATCGGGAGCGAGATGAGAACGTGGCGTTGCCTCGGGCGAGCTAGCTCGAAATGGAAGTCTAGACTCCCCGGGCCCGATAGGGCGAGAAGATGCGCGCGACGGACTACGCCTTCCCCCTTCGTCCCTAGACCCGTCGCGTCTATACATACGCGGCGATAAAATCAATAAATCCGCCATTGCGTACTAGCGACGCCCTATTTGCAGAGATCGATGAAGCAGGCCTCCTGCCGGCGGCGCCATTTTATAAAGTACATATCGTGGTACATAATACGAAAAAGCATTAACGTTGAACTATTTTGCCACAACTTATAATCTTTGAACGGACACGATCGTAGGGAAGACCAAAAAATTTAAATTTTGTAAGATTTTGGCAATACATTTAATTAGTATTGAAATTCATTTACGTACTTAGACATGACGTAGACATTGCATATGAAACTCGTAAAACTACGAAGTTTTACGACTTTCTTTACAACCATCAAGATATGCAGCAGGCATATGTAATTAGGATTACGAATTATCTTTCGACAACTGATTTGCAATGATAAAAGTAACAAGGGCGAATTTTTGCGATGTAAATTCTTACTAATATTTTAAAGGCGAAAGTTTGTATGTATGGATGGATGTTTGTTACTCTTTCACGCAAATACTACTGAATGGATTTTAATGAAACTTTACAATAATATAGCTCATACATCAGAATAAGACATAGGCTATAATTTATATACATATTTTATGTCTATCTGTCTTTCTGTCTGAATGTAACGCCTTCAGCCTATTCTACGCAGACGTAGTCGCGGGCAGCAACTAGTCGATAATAAATCTCAATGACGAGAAGGTCTCTAGAGGGGATTTAATCGTGTATTGATGTCAAGCTTATTACTGAAGGGCTTATAAACACTCAACGCCATTTCGTACATAATATATCTAATATTTCGTTCGTTAGTACCAGCGGCTGCCTAATGGTCAACATTTAAACATGGTAGTGTGTGTAATATTATTTTATTGATTTAATGCATAACTACAAAAAATATTAGCATTCAGCACTCCTTCTCTATATAAACTTCTAGTTAGCCCGCGCAATTTCGTCTGCGCCAATCTACCGGTACCTTACGTTTCGAATTTTAACATAGCCCCATCTATTATTAAGTATTAACATCTATTATTATATTAGATGGGCTCAAGCCAACCGATAAATTAAGCTTATACCGCCATCTGTTAAAATCTTATGGAACCCACAGGTAACTATAAGAGTTTGTCATCTAATAAAAAAATAATTTGCAATAAAATAATATTGCAACTATAAATTGAGATGTAAGCTATCTTTCAAGTAGGATCAAACTGCACACGGTGTGCAAATTAGATTAAGATCGGTTTAGTAGTTTAGGAGTCCATCGCGGACAAACGAAAGACAAAAAAGATAAGTGTGGGAAATTTCATACTCCTCCGTCCACGCTATCGTAAAAAGGGGTACAAAGTTTTTGCTTCACGTATTAATCAATAGCTATAGCTACAATTATCAATATGCGCAATAGCACTTTTGGTGGAGTTGTGCAAACATTTAATTGTAAACTGTGATGTAAAAGATAGAAGTGAAATCTAAAAATGAAAATTAAGTGCAATTCAAGGACCACGTAACCACACTTTCTATGATTTTATTCTCCCTGTATGAGAAAAATAAGAAAATCAAGTCTGTCTTGACACAATTGATAAGTACATTTTCAGAACATTTACGAAAAGATATCAAATAAAAAAAGACTAAATTTTAATAAACATTTGAAAGAAAAATGGAAGATGAGGAATAATTTAATGTCTAAGGGCTCAGTATCCATGATTCTATGTCATTAACAATTTTGTTCATTTCTTTTTCACTATTCGGCGAACTTTTTCGACACTTCATTCGTGCTTCTTATGTTTATAAGTCAATTCACGCCGATCGTCTGCGAGTAAGTTTATCTTAGTTTTAAAATTTGTATAACAGCACATTTCTTCAAGTGCTCCTTCATAGTAGGAGCATGAGTTAGTGCAGCACTTGAAATTGCTAGCCCTGCACTTCCAATTTTTATCATCGGCGGGCTAGAGTCTTGACTATTCTACCTGATGGTAAGTGGTGACGTATTCGATGGTAACAAACACATTACTACAACAAATGGCTGGAACACATTTTAATCATACCAAAAGATATGCGATTTGAGAAGGAATTAAAAATAAAATATACGAGTGAAACGAATGTAAAAAACGATTAAGTCAAACTTACATATACATAAGGTCAAGCTAAAACTTTCCGGAACTGGCCACGTACATAAACAATATTTAAAAAGTAACTACAACATTTAAAAATGGAATTCTTTGGCTGTAGAATGCAGTTTGTTTCATCTGACAGTCATCGAGTTAAACCCATGTTATAACATTATATTTCATACAGTATTTTTAACTAGAACATTAAACTGATCAGCACTCTTGATCTCGAAGCGTTGTCAGGAGATTTTAAGTTTTTACGTAATTTTTTAATATTACAGTCGCCTTATATAAGATTATACTTCGGTAGTACTATGAAATTCTAAAATACTCGTTAAAATAGACCAATACTTGATCTTCCAGAGAAGGATTGCCTTATGGATCTTTCCAGGATATTGGACACCACATGGATGCAAGAGTATACAACCAGATTCGTGTCATCCATCCGCCAAAGTGGTCTTAGCGAGTCAGTAGAGGTGTTCGAGGCTGTTAAACTACATGAACGGCTAAGCGCTCTTTGGACGTGGCGTGCATGGCTTTGTAAAGAGCGAGTTTTTTAGCTGGTCTTCGAAGCCTGGATGCAGTGACGGTGGGGAAGACTCACTGATAGACTTACACGGATAATCACTAGACACGGCTGCTTCGGTGATTATCTGTGTAGGATTGGACGAGAAGTCACGGCGACGTGCTAGCAACGCAGTCGGGTTAACCAGGATTCCGCAGACCGTACGCTTGCGATATGCTTGCATGGGAGAGGGAGAGACGGATCCTGGAGAACCAAACTGTACAAAGCCTATCCCTGACAGCAGTTATTTCTGCTGTCGCAATCGCTCCTTTCTCACTGATTTCCTATTTCAAGCAAAATGCTTTGAGTTAAAAGTTTAAACTTGCATTAAATTTCGACATGTAATAGTGTTATTGTAATGAAGTAACATAACAATAATAATTCGTTTACAATTTTTTTCATTGTATATTTTATTTATACAAAAATTTGTTTTATTATTACGTTTAAAAACCTCCATAAATAAAATCACTTTTTTCGCTAAGCTCTAATAAAGGTGCATTACAATTTTAACAGCTCAAGATTCTTGTCTGTCTAAACCTTCGTGCCACACTGCTTGTGTATTACATTTGTGTGCGTATTTATGCACATATACAAAATGTTGTCGTCTTTTACCTAAACTTGAGTGTAATTTTTTTTTAAATGGCTATTAATTTATCCGACTCACCTTTATCGACTAAGGAGGTTGACTTAATACTTACATATCAAAATATTTTCAATCCAGATCACTTATATATTTATTAATTTGATGTTAACTATAAGATATAGCCGGTGCCGGATTAAGCAAGCGCGGGGCCCGTAGCAAATTCTTACAAAGAGGACTTGATCTGCTAGTGGGTTCTTAGGTATAAAGTGGTTAAAACACAATTCAATACTCAATATGTTTGTTTTCAATCTCTAGGTTGATATTTTGGGGGTAATTAATAGTCTAGTAGATTACAATAGGTCCTGCTAGGCTCTGACAAGTACAAAAAGCCAAAGATGAGATTGCCTAATGCAATTTCATAAGAAAATAGCTTTGATAAGAAACTAATAATTGAAAACCAATGATACTAAATAAATATATTTTTATACATATTTCAATTAAATTCAATATAACACATTAAGTTTCATTAAAAAATTACGCTCAGGCACATAGTTTAAATTTGCGGGGCGCTCTTTCGCCCGTAGCAATTACTACGTGGTTAATCCGGCACTGGACATAGCACTTACACTCTAAGGAACATTTCTGCAAAGTATCTACAGCATGCTTTTATGTTGATAATTGGGAACATAAAGCGCAATACACAACAAAACTTACTTATGACTTCAGACAAAGCTCGGAGCTGCGAATTCTATATCATTGGTTACCTACATATTAACCAACCGCATTGGAACTCTCTGGTGGTAATTACCACTCTACGTCACGGGTACATCAATACACTTATGGACGTACCCTTGATCTAGATACCAGTCGCAAGCATCAGCCATCAGGCGGCAGGACTGGTGCCATCCAGATCGTTTCCATACGATGACTCACCTCTATTTCAAATTACCTATTATGTACTATATTACTTATATCAAAAGATACATTCAGGAGTTGCGGGTACCTTTGACAACGCACCCTTGATCTGGATCACGGTCACGAATTGTTGATGGCAGGATTTCATGGCGGTTGTTCAATATGATAACGTGCCTATATTCCAGATTATTCAGAAAATATAATCCAGCTAAATATGTATCCAGTGGGATCACAGTCAGCATCGATAGCGGCAGAGCTTAGTGCACTGAATACAATGTTACTACGCACGTCATAGGACGCTATTAAAACCTTAGATCAAAGGTAAAAGAATACAGGTCATCTATTTATGGTAAAATAATATAGGAGACATTGGGTTTACTTACCTTTGACTTGGAATTCATGGCGGCTAATGGGAGGAAACGTCGCAGCGGTGCTTATAGTCGAACGGAGGGAGAAGGGGGATGTTTTGGGGAGCATATATATAATGGATGTCTTTGGAGGAATGGTTGCAATAGTAGAAAATGGGAAGGTGTAAATTATTTTGTACTAGCTGCTGCCCGCGACTACGTCGGCGTAACAAGCGAAGCGAGGAGACGGTTCACCTGATGTTAAGTGAATACCGCCGCCCATGGACATCTGCTACACCCGAGACATCCAGATGCGTTGACAACCTTTCGAAAATTGGACTCAGGCCACCTCACTCACCAGACGAAACGCGAAAGTATAATACTTCCACTTTACGCCGGTCTTCCGTGAGGTCATGGTACTTACCCGGACGAGCCTGCCCATATAAATTATAGTCTATGTCTTATTCTGATGTATAAGCTATACTATTGTAAAGTTTCTTTAAAATCCTTTCAACAGTATTTGCGTGAAATAGTAACAAACATCCATCCATACATACAAACTTTCGAGTTTGTAATATTAGTAAGGATTTGTAAGGAAGTAAGGATTATCATACCTTTACTCTGAAACACGGACAGGAACTGGTCGCAGGAGGAAAGCGACCACGGGTTCGCGCCATCGGCCACCAGTAGCATCCGTAGCGAGTTCAGTGAGATCTCCTTATGATCCCTCGTGGCGAGTAAGCCCCAATGTAGATCTCGTGACTTGACTATTGCCACCGACGCCCTGGACGTGAGAAACGTTTTAATATAATTATAATAGGTTAATGCGAAAATTTAATTTTTTTTTATTTATAAAACAAGTTATTGAACGTGAACTGAAACAGATTTCCATGTTCACCAACACCAACGGACACTACCAACTTACGTCCATTTTATAAAGCAAGCCTCAAAAATATACACCTTGAATTATGTGAATATGATTGTATAGTGGGTAGAAAAAAAAAGAAGCTTTTAGTAAATAAATATACCAATACCAATAAAAAGAACACATATTATGTATTTCGTTTGCATGATCTAACTCTCGCTGATCGCAAAGTTTCAGGAGAAATTAAATTAATTAAAATCAAATAATAGAAAATGGAAAAACAAAATAATGGCCAATGCAAAAATATAATGAACAACGTATTAATAATAATTCGCGGGTACACAACTTAAAGAATAAATATCGCATAGCATTAAAGAATTTTAGGTAGTTACACGTTATAAGAGCTTCTTTACAATAAATATATCTTAAAATAAAAATATGGTCTCACCTGTATTTAGTGATCATGTGCATCCACGAGGCGGGGCTTACTTTCATGAGGGCGTATGGAATGAATATCACGTGCATGCCGTTGAGAACGCTGGCCAACACGGCGTGCCACAGGCCCGTCTCACGCTTGAAATCCAACACGCAAACCATGTGCTCTCCCTCGGTGTAGTTGCAGGCCACGGAGAGCATCCGGCAGTGTGCGAGCATGGAAGCCCTGGAAAGGGGAACAAATGTTCGTCATTTCATACAAATATCACAATAGAAAAGCTAAGTACTGTTATTTATACCATTTCTAGCCTGGCGTCTCTGATACGTTCGCGACTCCGGTTAGGGGTGGCTTCATTTCTTCCTGATTCAAAGTACACCGCTAGATGTCCGCATGCGGGCAGGAGATTGTATAAAACTCCACGCTGGATTGAACACACCAGGGCACGAGAGATGGCGTTACGGTTGTTTTGCAGTCAAATTTTCTGCATTTAAATGCTAGTGCGTGACAAAGTTCTCGCCACAGTCCAACTTCGTTTTATTCTCATTTGTATTAAACAGTTTCTGTTATTTTGCACTCAGTAAAATTAAATTAAATCCTTTGAGCTTACCGCGACTGCAATTTCCGCAATATTTGAGCGAACTTTCATACAATTTCATCAATATTTGCGCGGGAAATTCTCTGGCACGACATACGTAATAATATATATTTAAATACGAGGGCGGGATGATAAGTAACTAGCCTAATAATAAAACACTTAACTTTCCGCGATAAAATTAATTTTATTTTTCTACATAGTCTCCGTGAACCTCTACACACTTATTCCACTTCGTTCAAAAGCAGTAATGCCTTCCAGAAAATGATTTCTTTCGAGGCCTGTAAAATACTCCTCTACAGCGGCTATGACTTCATCATTTGTGGAAAATTTCTGTCCGCAAAAAAGTTTTGAGCTTAGGGAATAAGTGGAAGTCTGATGGCGCTAGATCAGGCGAATAAGGTGGATGGGGCAGCAAATCATAGTTCAATTCGTTGATTTTTGCCTTTGTTTTTAACACATGTGTGAATCCTAGCGTTGTCTTGGTGGAAGATGATTTTTTTTTTCGTCAAACCTGGACTTTTTGCTGAATACATTGATGAAGCTTATCAAGAATATTGGCGTAATATTCATCATTAATTGTTTGACCTTTAGCAAGGTAATCTATCATCAAGATCCCATCTGCATCCCAAAAGACGGACGCCATCACTTTTCCAGCCGACTTTACAGCCATGGCTTTTTTTGGAGCCGGACATCCCGATTGAGTCTAATGTTTTGATTGAATTTTTGATTCTGGCGTGTAATGATGAACCCATGTTTCATCTGTTGTTAAAAATCGACGTAAAAAATCGGCCTTATTACTCTGAAAACGGTCCAGACATTCTTTTGAGTTTTGCACCCGAACCCTTTTTTGATCGTGCGTAAGCAATCGCGGCACCCAACGGGCCGATAGCTTTTTCATATTTAATTCCTCACTTAGGATATGATGTACCCGTTCTTTTGAGATACCTGTAGTGTCAGCTATTTCAGATGACTTCAATCGTCGATCTGCTAAAACCATATCATGTACTTTCACGATCATTTCCGGAGTCGTGACCCTTTTTGGACGTCCGGGGTGGGCTTCATCTTGGACACATGTACGACCGCGTTTAAACTCAGGCACCCAGTTTTTTACTGTGGCATAAGAAAGAGTACATTCACCCAAAACATTCTTTAACTCGTCATATATATCTTTCCCCATCATCCCCTTCATATGAAGAAACTTTTTCACCGCTCTTTGTTCAATTTTATCCATTTTGAAAACAGTTGACGAAATATATTTTCAAATGAAAAAAAAAAAAAAAAACAATAAAATTTTCACGCCACCAAATTCAAATTTAGAACACAGGTGGCCAGAGATACGAATTGAAAAATGACATATATATATTCTTAATTTTAACTTCTTAAATAGCAATGGCTAGTTACATATCATCCCGCCTACGTACATCTAATCATTATTCAACTTCGTAACTTTTATTTAAATTTAGCTAAGTAATTTTTTGACGATAATTGCATTTTCATGATGTTGCATTACGAATAATGTATTGCAACTTTCTATTTCGACATAAATATAAATTATTTTATTTTATCTTAATCATTAATTGCCACCTTCCGTAAAAAAGCCAAAGAGGAAAAAAGACGTTAGTTGGCAAAAGAAGTAATTAGTGGATAAAATAACAAGTCTCTTGAAAAATGTGTCAGTAACAAAAATGAATAGGCAGGGCAAATTACGCGCTTCCTTCATTTTCTATGAACCATTTTTAAAAAGCTTTTCAGTCTAGTTCATAAAGACAGCGCTAACAATTCCAGCCGCAAATGATAATTTCATTTTTGTCACGAAGAATTTTTAACTCAGTTAAATTTTTAATTGTCAGTATGTAAGGACTTTTTGCGAGTTAAAGAAAGTAGCCAATATTGAATCTGATTGTGGATAATATTTCCACTAGACCCTAACTAAATATGTTTTTTGTAATAAAATTTATCAATTAAATAAAGTAAAATTGAAAGTTCTTTCCAAGTCCAGATTTGAAGACAAATGAGAATTTTATTTAAATTATTACGACGGGTCTATCAATTTACTCTTAGAAATAATAGAATTTTCGAAGTTGATTTATTTAACTTAACAGATATTTGTCATTTAGGACTTAGAATCCTTTCGCGATCGGGGAATATACAGGAGCCAATCATTTTATCAGTCGGCTTCGTTATAGAAAAGCAGGTAAATAATATAAATGGACATTAATATACTAAATTAATGGCCAATTAAGGTCAACAAGACACGTCAGACGTTAAGTTCCCGTCAAATTTCCTCCCTTAATGAGAGAAATTCCTAATTAGTAAAATGGTATGCCGAATAAACATAAATAACACCTGTTATAGAGAAATGATTTCGAAGGAGACGTTAAAAGAACTGTTTCTGAGAAACAAGGCGTTGTTGTTAGGGAAAATGTTATTTGTAACTCGCAGCATAATCGCTAATAATCCAGCTAGCAACAAAGGATTTTTCCTTAACAACGAAGTAAACAAATAACTAGGCTATACTTTTACGTGAAAAACAAACGGATATTTCTTGCAAGTCCCTCATACAGTCTGTTAACCGTTTGTTTAATTTTTAAATGCGCAGTGAATTTTATTCGCGGTGAGTTGTTTACTATCATTGTCTGGTAACATTTGCGGAACGTGGCGAGGAGACGTAATTATGGATGTTTCAAATTGCTTGTATTACACTAATGCCTCATTTAACTTTTATATCCTAACACTGAAATATTTAACTTCCCGGTCGTCAATTCGACTTCTACATTCGATTAACCAAATATGCATGTTCTGTGCTGTAATATTGTTTATAAAAATGTTAATTTTTTGTATTAGACATGGTCTATAAGTACTGTAGCGATTCTTAAAACTTTTTACAGTATCTCTGTAATATAGACATTATTTTATTGTAATTGTCGTAAGTTTGTAGTATAAGAAAAAGCTAAAAAGCTTAATTTTTACACAGTAGACGTATTTACTGCCTGTGATATGTGAAAACATTTCAACTGCTTATTGTATTGTTCACTTATCATTTGTCTTATCATTTTATACCTCTATTTTTAAATAAAGCAACGAGAATACGTTAATAATTGAACATTCAGAATCGATTACAAAAACATAAAGGAAAAGAAGGTGAAAAGTGACAAGTGATTTTGATCATAACTCACAAACTATTTCGCACCTTATTGCGTTTTTCGTAAGGAATAAGCGTTCAAAACAATGCAAAGGTTACGTAAATGTCGAAAAGGGAAGTTTGCTTTGGCGAGGAGATTTGACCTCTTGTTAAAATCTTAATTACCTATACGCCTAGTGGGTACACAAGTAAAAGCAACGCGACTGCTCACCTGGTGACTATGACGCCCATGGCTGAACCGTCTGCTGCGGAGGTGTGCTCGATGTGGCCCGGACTGTCCTCGGCGGGCCGCGGCGGCGGGATCCAGTCACGCGGGGGCCGTGGAAGTTTCTCCGTGGACACCCACTGCAACGACGGCCACCCCCTGAAGGAGACCACGTCGCCGGAAGAAGTTTTCGGGAGACCTGGGCAGAATTCGATATCTTGCCAGATAGGTAAACTCTACGAGTAACTTTACGGTGGTACAGCCACGCAGCAGCCGCGGCTGTTGCACGAATGGGCAATTGCAGCCTCGTCCGGGTAACTACCGCGACCTCTCTGAAGACCGGCGTCAATTGGAAGTTATAACACTTTCGCGTTTCGTCTGGTGAGTGAGGTAACTGGAGCCCAATTTTCCAAAGATTGTCAACGTATCTGCAATCCTCGGGTGTAGCAGATGTCCATGGGCGGCGGTATTCACCTAACATCAGGTGAACCGTCTGCTCATTTGGCAACTTTTCACATAACAAAAGAGTGGTATCCTAGGATCAGCGACCGTTAAGGATAAAACTAGGCTTTTACGTTACAGATGACTTTGTTTTGCCTTGCACGGTTCCTAAATTCTGCCAACCCGATCGTTATAAAATATCACAGGGTCACCCACTAAAGCAAAGATTGCTCGAAAATATTTATTTATACTATTCATATTATTTCAACGATATCGGTTCTGCCTATAGTCTTTGAAGACTATAGGCAACACCACAAACATAGACACTTTTATTATTATATAAGTGAAATTATGATAGCTCAGTGTCTGCTTTTCAGATCGCTTTTAAATCATTATACTCGAGTAACCTGAGTTCTATCGCCGTTGCCGGCACCAACACAATTGTTAAATTTAGGTGTTGAATTATCATGTGCTCAGCGATGATGGAAAACATTGTGAGGAAACTTGCATATTTCCACATTTTTTTTGATATCCGCTCTACAGCAGTCCGCCGCGGATAATACCATCTGTATAATACCATCTGTACAGAGGAGCCTATCAGTGGGACGAGTATAGGTTGATACTTTACTTTTACTTCACTAGATAAGTGCATAAAAAACAGAAATAAAGAATAAATGAAGAAAAGCAAAAGCAGCTTATGCAAGATGAGGTACCTAGATAACTGCCAACTATTTTGCAATCCGACTGGGTTTGAGATAAAAAAGGAACGAATGGCGACAAAAACAAAAAATCAAAAATCAAAATCATTTATCCATCGACATAAGAAACTTACATTTCATTTATCAATAGTCATATTTTTTTTTTTAAATCTACCACCGTTTCGTAATGAGGTTCCTCTAGCGGAGAAGAAACAGGCGAAAGAAACTCCGTAGGTATCCTCTTTTTTGTAATTATTTTTTTTTTCTTAACAAAAAATTCAAATATTATACAAATGATTTTTTTTTTCTTTTTAGAAATAGCTTGGGAGCGATCAACTCATTCCCAGGGGTTATTGTCATTAATGTATTCATTTGTATTATAATAACCCTTTTTATAAAGTTTTTCTTTAATAAATTTCTTAAACCTGTTAATAGACAATTAATTAGCCCAAAGTTTCGTAACAAATGCACAGAGATATGTACGTACTCGTTCTAATTAATTAATCTATTTCGATCGGAAGCATTTAGAGAGAGGAAAAGCCAGAATGCACACAAGCGATTTAATTGAGCCGGCTACATCATTATTAACTTTCCGAGTGAAATTCCATTGTGGAATCAACGACAATAATGCTTTGGCGCAATGGAGAGTTATATAGAGATAATTAAAAGTTTATTAAAAAAAAATCTTAAAAAGTTTATTGTTTTCATAATAACGCTTCTGGCAAACTCATTATTTTCGCAATATCTTTGTTGCTACATATTTTAATTTTCGGAGTGGCCATGCCTTTACAAGTTTGTAGTCTTCGACATTTCGCAGTTTCTTTTTTGCTTTTTTCTCTTCTGAGAACTATTCGTAATGGAAAACGGAAGCACATTTCCCATTTCTATGCTAAGAGGTGACCCCTTTGCTCGTGCTTTAAGCAAAAAATGTGGAATTTACTTTTTGCAAAGGGCTTATATATAGCTGCGATAAAAAACCTGCAAGCATAAAGTATTTCTAGAAATGTTTCTAGGGTACTTCTCTACAACCTAAAACGCTCCTCAGCAAAAATTGTATATATTTGAGTAGTAAATCATTTGCGAGCACTCTTTCGTCGAAATGCAAACGTTTGTAGTAAACTTTTTGTAACTGAGTATATAGCACCTATATGATAATGACATGGTACATGGTCAACAAGATTAGATTAAAATGTAATTTCAATGTACCAGCAAACTATGTACTATAAAAACTGATTCAACGAAGGTTAGAACATCCCAAGCGTGAATATCATGGCAATTACATTCGGAGGCTCATGGCCGCCGATGCTTTTAACATCGGCTATAATAATGACAGTGATGGAGACATCCTCTCATAATAATTATTTTGATAAAGTGGAAATTTCAAATAACACGTTTGGATTTCAAGTACAAGGTACAACAACTGATTTTTATACTATTATATACTACTTAATATAATAGTACATCGACATTTTACCCGATATTTGTAATCATGTGGTTAGGCTATATTATATACTACTATTGTAAATTTTTTTTTTTTTTGATGGAAGACAATTGACAGTGTTTAATAAACATGAAACTCACTCTTCAAATCAATAATCCATCATTTTTGTCAAGTGGAACACTGTTTCTAGCAAGTTTAAAGTAATTAAAGTATTTTAACTATCGGATGTGACTGATTGTAAATAAAGGTCATGCTCACTTTTTTGTACCGTTCGTTACAATCACTACACACAAGTGTAATTGAATTACGGTCCGAAATATTCGTTATCCGTTGTGTCAGGTCTATCTCTCTTGGTTCTGTTAATATTTTTGGGTGGTCGCATTCTTACGGCAAAATTTTAAATGGAAGTAAACGTAAAGAAGTGCCATCTTGCTGAGAACAAAATTGATTTTAAAATAATAAATAGTTAGAGTTCAGCTAATTAAGAAATGTTTGTTTAACTATGACAAATAACAATTTTTTTTTCATTTATGTACATATTATTTACTAATTATGATGATCACGTATGCCAGTTACAGCATCGTCTCGACCTTACTGAATTATGTTAGAAGTTGGCAAATTGAATATTATCAATAGTTTCTGGATTACATGTGTGTAATATTTATGATGATAACACGTAACGGATTATAGAAAGTATTTATGATGAATGAGTTCACGCATAGCGTGCAGCTTATTGCGTTATGGGGTGTTAATTTGCAACCGGGTAAAACACGACCTTGCATGGAAATTGCATCTATCATGTAGTCGTTATTATGAGGGTCATGGCAGCTGAAGTACGTTTGAACATACATAAATGCTCGATGAAAATAAGCGAACGCCATGTTTTTATGTTGTTTTCAACTTCTTTTCATCTTTGACGTCTGTTTTATTTTATTGACGGATTTTATTTTATGGAGTTAGAAACCAGACTCTCTGGTTTTCCTTAACTTCTTTAACGTGCCATTTGTGAATTGGCCAACTGGTGTTCTTTGTGTCTAACGTAATTTATCCAGCTGCTAAGAAGCCCCTAAGTTTCATGGGTTTATCTTAATGACAGAGTTTGCGTTTAGACAAGCTTAACACTAAAGTTTTGTGCTAGGTAATAGTGGAGCGTCTTATTTTAGACACCGTTAATTGTAAAATATGTGAAACGATGTACTCTGCCTATTATATGTAGGCTATTTTCAGTAAAAAATCTCATATAGAAGAGACGTTATTTTATAACGTAGTAAAAATTTATTTTTCCACAGATTTCAATAACAAGCCAATTTATCGGAATTTTATCGATTAACTAATATTATCGGTACTTTAAGAAAAAAAACAAATAATAAATCTTATTTTTTTACTAATAATATATAAGTTTAAAAGTATTTAGAATGTACAACCTTTTAAAACTGTGACAAAATACCGAATGGTGTAAAATTTATAATTATATTTTAAGCGCGAACCATTTTATGTCGTGAATAATCAAGGACCATCAGGGCACTTTTTAATGTCAACGTGTCGAGGTACAAGTTGAAATAAATTTTTGACAATAAGTGCTGTTCATTTCATAATGAGTAAAATATTTTTGTATAAAGTATGAATCCTTATAAAGGATGAATGTTTCTATTTTGAGCATGCCATTTAACTCTTAGCCTACTAATAGTAATAATAACAATAATTATAGTTATTTTTAAGCCGTTTAAGATAACATACAGATATATAATAGAAAATCTTTTAGAACTAAAACTTAGCAGTCACGTCTTATGGTAATTTTATTTTAGTTACTTAAATTTTGACTTGAAATTTGTTAGGAATATTCCTCTCGCCGAGTAGAGGTCAGCAAAGAACGGATTTTACGAAATTCCACCAAAACAAGGTTCGCCGGATCAGCTAGTATTGTATAAATCAAAAGGAAGATTATTAAGAGATGAATTTAATCAGCTTCCGCAAACGATAACTCGAGGATGTAAAAGAAAACGTTATGTACAGACTGAGCCTGAGAGTATCACGAGCAAATAGCGAAAACGTTTCTTATAAAAAGACTCCGAAGCCTGCAATTAGCACGGAGATGCAAATAAAACGAAGGGCGCCTTTGTAACGTGTAACACAAGTATGTTGTATGTTTTAATTAGTGAACCAATACGAGGCAAAGCGATTTAAATAGGAGAGATTTCTTTGTGGTTTTATACTACGCATCTTACTGCAATAGCAGACGTTCAGATAATAAGGATTTTGCCATCGGCGATGCAACGTGTTCAGTGACAATATTACGATACTGACCTTTTAAGCAGGCATCTGATGTAAGGGCGTATTGTATTCCACAGGAGCCGAGCAGGAAGCCCACTTGTTGGAGACCGGCGTCGCGTCTGGTGAGTGGCACTTCTATGGGCACTGGAACCACCCCAGCTTGGAGGCATCCGTAGAAAGCGCACACGAAGTTAATGGGATCGTTGTTCGGATAGACCAGAGCAACGCGATCCCCTGGCTTTATGGAATTGTCCCCAGTCAGTGGTCCACCACTGCTGCTCTTCGAAGTGAACGTCTTATTCAGCAGCGCATGGGCGATCTTGAGTGAGCGGCTCAGCAGTTTCCCTGTTTTATCAACAAAAATAATGATTGTTTTAAACATGAATTCAATGGTTTCAATGGTGTTACAATTATTTGATCGTAGTTGCGCTAAGAAAGAAATTGGCAGTGTTCCAAGAGGAATGGCTATTCATAAGTTGATGCATTTTCACTAGTGGAAAAATATGTGAAAAGTAAATGTAGAAACAGCCAAATTATATCATCAAGCTCGGGGCATTTTATTCTGATTGGATTTAATTTATATGTGAATTGATTCTCTATTAACAGTTTCGCTATTAACGTACCGTATGTCAGGGAGTTGCTAAGTTTCCCATTAGGATCGAGGACAGTAGCAACGTTCGCCTTAAAGGAGGCTGTCCCATATCTTTGCAATGCCGCTTCCAGGTTCCTCGGCAGCCCGGCGGGCACAACGAGCTGTTCGCCCACTGCTGGGGTCATCGTACCACCTTCGGGTTTTGGTGCGTTAGGGTCTTTGGGGTTTGCGGCTATTTCGAGTTCAATGTCGTCGTCTTCGTAAAACTCCGGCAGCGGACGGCGCTTGGGCCGCTTTAAAGTGTTCAGCAACTGCTGAATTTTGGCTGATACCTGCATTAATAAAACTATTTAGGAGAAGTCATATATATGGCAGTCAGATATACAAATTGTTACCATCGTACCTTCCATCTGCCGGTACCGGTGCCGGTATCTTCGGGTTGTGCGTAACACTGCACCCTGTCTGCAACTAATGCACCACCTCGCCTGGCACCAGACGTAGTGTGGGTGACATCTGGTTGAATATCTGAGCAAAGATTGAATGTGTCATAGTTTTATTAAAAATACATAAGATCTTATATGACATCTCCTGGCTTTACGTGGCTTACCTATAGGCTTTGGCACCCGGTATCGTAGGTTCGATTTCCATGTGATCCGTGTGACCCATAGGCAATTATTTGTTTTTTGGTGTTTGTCTACGTGAAATTTCATTCTAATTTGCATATTTAACAATATTGACTTTTAAAATTTGTAAAAAAGTACGAAAAGATTTTCGCCGCTGTGGGAATCGACTTTAACTTGTTGTCTTTAATTTAACTGGTTTTCTATAAAGATTGATTTTCTATAAAGAGACTTAATAAAGTTGCAAATTTTAGATTTCGCAAAGCACTTTTACATATAATATTAGCAAATGTGGTATTAGTGCCCGGCGCGATGTGTCTCTTGCTACAGATATATTTTGCTCCGGTTGAGCCAATTTTGTGGCGTAATACGATTTCCACAGCTCGCAGCTATCATCTAATCGGCCATGATTTATTAAGTTACTTGCCCAGACACCTCGAGAGCTGACGCGAATTATTTCTTATATTCAAACAAAAATTCGCTATATGCATTAACTGGTCTTAGTAACTATAAACATTTAAAGCAATGGGAAGTATATTGTTTAAACTCAATTTACTATGTATGACGATAGACGGTTGATGAACTATTATATACCTTTGGATTTAAATCGCAGTGAAGATATTAATTGTTTATATAAAATTGTATCTATTTTACGAAGGCATGTCATGTCACATCTTCTATAGGTTTTAAAACGCTTTGTTATACACAATCCCTAAACAAAAAGTCTACTGTGAATAAACGATGCCTAGAAATTTTGCCTAGACAGTGTCAGACACCGTCGCCAACCCGCCACTGTTCGATAGTAATTATCCCTTTATTAGGCCGAAATCTCGTTAGTAATTGTGATTAGACTATTTTAATGAAAAGAATTTTCGTCAACAAATTTCTGTGCGGTACAATAATATTAAATGATAACTTCGTTAATCTCAATAGCATCTCAATAGTAGGTGTTCCTTGGAAAACTATACTTGAGGCTATTTTATACTGAGGCCAACATGAAACATCAAAATTATACAAGAACAGACTATAATCTTGAAAGTACAGAAAAAGATATAAATTTTAGAACATAACATGAAAGAATGTGGTGGTTTTGACACTTTAAAAGAAATTACAGTAACTCAGAGTACGAAATAATTTTTTTCCCTACAGTTACAGAAGCACCACACAAAAGGTTGCTCGAGTACTGCCAGATTGACGTTGGCTTTTAAGACATCCTGTATTTACTCACTTCTGAAATGTATGCATTTCTGCAATGCTACAGTTTCAAATAAAGTGAATGAATTATAATGTAATTTCATAAAATTAGATATATAAAAAAACTAAATATGACTGTATTTCTTTCTTTTTTCATATTGCTTCACTACAACTATCGGACTGATGGTTCGATCGATGATCGAAATTATTGGCACATGAAACAACAGAGATTAGTACATGCATCTATATCCAGAATCAAGCCCGGGTACAATTAATATATACCTGTGACAGGTCGTTCTGTGGTTAATGATAATATGTTTTGCATAAATAATAATCATCATTCGATTTAAATTGGACGTTGTAAATTCGCAACAATAATCTTTTGATTACAGTTCAGCTATATAAAAGAGATGAGAAAATTCGAAATATGCAAGCCACAAACGTAATTGCCGTACTATACATTAAATGATTTCAAATTAAAATTATAAAATCAAATATTACATCTACTGGTATTAACAAGCTTTAATTACAATGATATTATCTTGATTTCGAACGTAAAATAATTCAACATACATATAATGAACATATACTTCAACAAATTCAAATAGTAAACGTTTTTTAAAAGCTTTTCCCTTAGTTTTTAACATAAGAAACATTTAAACCGTCTTTATGCGCTCTGGCTAGATCGCTGTATCTAGATGGCTTCATCCGATACAATAATTAATTAATAACTAATATACAGAATGAACAAAACTGCAATATGTAGCTACTTACAGGCTGGCAGATGTGCAGTGATATCCGACAGGTCGATTTCCGTCCTTTCCCTAAGCGCGTGTTTCTTTTCACGCTGGTGATGCGCCTGAGGTAGTGGATGCGGGTGTGCGCGGGGGTGTGGGGCGGCTGGTCGGCGAGCAGGGGGCGAGTCCAGTTCTGGAGGCGGCGGCAACTCAGCATCACCGGCGCCGGAGTCTTCGTCGGAGCTAGACGCTACAAGATTTCGGAACGTCAACACCTTATGTCAACTTTGCAACTACTTCGACTGACTCCTTGATTGTCAACGTTTCGTCTTGACAGTTTGGAAGGACATTCCTTTCTACAATGCGCAGGAGTAGAATTAGTGTGTCTCTCAAGACTATCAAGATAAGACGTTGAAAATCAAATATTCCATCGAATATGTGATTTATGGCATTTAAAAACAAAGCTGAAATTAACATATTTTGATTTAACATAGTATTTATTATCTAAGTGTCACGTTGCTGACATTGATGCCGACACCGACATCGAAATTTAAATTCAGCTCGCTGGAGTAAACTGGATTAAAGGCCAAGCGTGGTAACTTAGGCGTTAACTTAGTTACCGTACTCGCATTACGTAACGCTAAATTATTATTTTATTACCTATAAATTTTATTATTAGTAAATGGTATTTAAAATTTGTTTATGTATATTATTTTAATATAAAAACATATAATAACATTGTGAATAACTTTTACCGCACTCACAGAGGTCGTGTCTTTCTCTATCTGGACTTTTGGCCATCATGGATGTCCTCTTAGATGGCATTGGCAACGACGGTTTAGGTCGGTTCTGCATCTCGGCAAGTGCTTGCTGCACTGCTTCCTGTCTCACTTCTGTAATATCATTTAAACAGTTTTAGTTTCATTCGTCTAACAATAGGGAGATGTAATCCAGTTAGACAAAGAGGAATAATTGAATATAATCATGCATACATGTTTGGTGAACGTTAAAACACATATATATTATACTTAAAGCAACATAAAAGCAGAATGAACATGTAATAATAATAATAATTAAACATGCGAATTCACTAAAAATGTGAAGCAAAAAAAATAGAAGTAATTTTTAATGTAAATTTTATGTGTAAAGTGTATTTTAAATGGAATTAAATTTACAGAAAGTGTATGTAATGTACAGTGTATTAAATGTTACATAAATGATTATTTATTTATTAATTAATTATTAACCAAATTGTTTTATTTGCCTACCTACCTGTTACACGAACCAGTGGGTGATACGTGTAACAGATAATATAGTTATTATTTCCAAAATATCTCATTTATGGTTCTCTCGATTTAGCTTAATCAACACATTCTAAGTAAATGTAATGAAATGTGAAGTGCATTATTTTTTTTTGCCTACGATGTTTTAAAAAGTTGTAAGGTAGTTTGACTATCATGTAAATGTCATTGATTGCCGTCATTACAAATTATTGTAATGTGAGTCATCCAATTTATTCTTATGATTAAAACCTTTGAAAATCTAATTGAAGTATGCATAAATGTACAACAAGGTAGGTACAACTAACCAGAGGTAATACAAACATATTAAAAAGCAAATATTATGACTCTCATAACACTATATAAAATCAAACTGATTTTCGTTTAAAAATAACGCAAATAATTTATATTGTAATACAAAAGGTGACCAGTGCTTATAAAATATGAATGACAAAGGATTCACAAAATAAAGTAGAGTGAATTGTAAGCTTGTGGGTATACGGAGGATTATCAAAAAGGACCGTTACGTTAATATGCGGTAGGTAACCTGAAAGATTTTGTCTCAACCCTTCAGAAAGATTTATGGTACAAAAGGTCTATTTCTTATAATGAAAACCTGTTTAATTCTTTGAGTATATATATTTCTTGTCTTGAGAACTTTCATTCACAAACTACCTGTAAGGGGTGTTTAATAAATGAAACTCGGGTGTTTAATAAATGAAACTCATAGGGGTTGAGAGAGATTATACATTCTCAATTACCTAATTACAAAGAAAAACGTTTTAATTTGTATATTTGTCAACTAATACCAGCATTGCTTTTGGCACTAGATACCTTTGAGTAAAAATATGTCTTATAATTTTATTTAAATTGTTGTCTGTACGAAAAGAAATCATTTGGATCATGCAGTATTAATATACATTAGTAGTAGACATCATAAAACTGCTAACGAGCAAGACGTATGTATACTGGTACCGTTATAATCTTTGTATATGTTTCAAATATTTTATTTGTTTTATTCTAGAATCGACGATTTTAAACTACTGCTCTAAGTATTTCTTGTACGGCATTTTCTCTGTGTTCGTCGAAACAGGTTTCGCACGTGTGTAATTCAATTTCTTTCGGTCTTCGGTAACTATTATAAAATGTTTACTTTTATACCGAGGCAACTCAGACCGGTTACATGAAATACGTTATAGAGACTTGCTCGTTTTACAAGAAGATATGTTAGGGTAAATGGTTAAAGTTTTAATTTGTCATTTAAGTAATTTAGTTTTTTAAAACAACTCAATTAAGCCGAGTTCATTTCTGATTTTACTTCAATATCAAAATGCTAGTCGCAAGGTGTCTCACAGGACAAAAATGCAAATGAGACGCCATCGTGGTGATAAAAATTTCTATTATAACTGAAGAACGAATAAGTAGTAGCAGGGAAAATACGTGCAGCGGCTTTTATTTTCGTTAATTACCTGCAGGAAACAAAATTTAACTGAATTTAATTTATTAATAAAAAAATAAGTATAAAGACGGTACACAAAACTTGATAGCTTAAATGAAAATTTGGCGGGAGAATTGTTTAATAAACCCATTTTATTAATAGAAATTTACTCCATATCAGTTCAATTTAGATCACAAGACGATCGCAAAGAAAGGTCTTTTTGTCTGTTTTAAAAGTAAAGCAACGCCCACACCCCGTAGTATCGCTTTTATCAGTACCGTATTACAGACTACTTAAAGACTTCATAATTAAATGATTCACAATAGGTGTAACACGGCAGAAAACGACGCGCAAAGAATGGATGATTTCATTAATTAAATGGCGCTTATTCATTACGTGAAGCCAAACGGTAATCAAGCAAACTATTCCCAATGGCCCTTACATTGCGTGGTCGATACAAGTTGCTCTTGCATTTGCACGCCATGTGGTGAGCATTTGCTGAGTGAAATTATTATTCCCACCCTTGTATACGTACATGAGTTTCTGTTAGAGCTTTTTTAGAGCTTATCTCCTAGTTGCGGACTGATATTTTTCACGGGAATGCATAAAATCACTCAGTTGTCGTTGTCGTAAATTTGCTGCAGCAACAAAAATAACATAACCCGCGCGCTGCATACATTCGCAAACATTTATCCAACGCTCTCTGACATCATAATGTAGCGTGCTTTCAAAGCAGCAACCGTCATTAACTTGAAGTTGTTCCATTGAGTTTTTTTTCACGATACATTTTTTAAGTGTGAAAAACCGCTGTAATATTAATGACGCGTTGCAGTGAGCGTTTGTAAATTAGAACACTTTCTACAAGGCTTGACATTAAAGTTTTGATATATTGTTTTAATAAACGATATATTCAAAATAAGAAATATTGTATTCTTATCCATATTATTTGCAAATTAATTATATGAGCGCCGTTAAAACAAGTAACTGGAGGACCATGGGAAAATCATGTATTTAGGAAATTACATTTAGATACAAATTGCTGAGTAATTAAATATTCATAATATTTTTCGATCTTACCTTATTACTTTAACTGGTGTTTTACACTAGAGAAAGAACTTTAAAAAAAAGGGAAAAAAATAACAAAATCATCTGGATTCACAAAAAATAAAAAATAAAGAAAGCAATGATCTGGAATCGTAAAAAGGTAAAAAAATAAATATGTAAATGATCGTGACACGATCCACGGCCTTCTGTTTCGGGGCCGCCCGATTACCGACCGAGCTATTACAACATATTTTTTTTCGGTGAAATTTACTGTCGTATTCGAATGATATTTTTCATTCCCTGAAAACTGGGATAAAACGACATTTTGAAAATGAAACCTATCCAGATCGATTTTTCGCCCCCGAATCTACACTATGTACATACTAAATTTCATAAAAATCTATACATATACGAGAATTGCTCGTTTAAAGGTATAAGATTTCCAGTACTAATGATCTTTACACTTTTAAAAACTAGATCCAACCAGTAAGTTTTAAGAAACCGACCAATGAAGTCCGTAAATCGATTAATAGTTACAACTTCACATATCACGAGTAACGTGTGACACAAATTGTATTTACGGCGATGTATTACATTTTATGTTGAGGCGTGCGATGTACAAATCAAGATATAATTGAAAATGGCGGCCGTGAGTCGGCGTTCAACTCAGGTGCCGCTAGAGGCTGCACTTTCTAGCAGGTGGAGGGACGCCCTGTGTGCTTGCCGCGTGAATTTAATAAACGTTCCATTCTATTTCTAAATATACTAAATGCAAATAAAACAAAAACGCGAAGATTTTTAGTAGAAATTTGAACAAAAAACTTACAATTACACTTTTATCCGTAGAATAATGAGATAGATGCTGTTCTAACATTTTATATAAAAATATGATTCTAGATCGTAAGATATTTTTCCGGGGTTAGAAACGAATTCTTAACCCGCAGGTTTCTTTTATTTAAACGTAAATAACTTTTACCTTATCATGTAGATTTTTATAATACATATTTTATCGCAATTCAATTATTATTGATATTATCTCATGTGGCAATTGAAATATATGATTTCAGAAAAGTTCGGTATTGGTTTGCATTTACAATAAGTTTACGTATTGTCAATTCCAGACCACTCACTTTCTTCATTTTACTTTTGTACCTGGATTTAATATCAGAGTACTACCATACGGTACGTTCTTACAGCAAGAAAGATGAATGAGCTCCCAGTGCACCCGGATAAATAAGAGTCAATTTATTCAAGACATCGCGGCGAACTACAGAGGGATCCAATTCAATCCTAAGAACGATGGGGAGTCAATATCCACGATGATATGCTCGATCCCCTTTCAATATCTTGAAATTGCAATTGCAGTGCGAATAACTCTTACCTATTCAGCCCAGTGACTTTTCTGTCGTCATTATATAAATATAATATTATGTGTTTTGTTACTGCGAAATGGTAAAATAGTCCCATATTAATATAAATTGTGAACACTTACGGTACTGAATTTAAAAAAGTTATGTTATAAAAAATTTAATCAGTCTTTTCATAAGAACTCAAGAGAAATGCAAATCAAGATTTGAAGAATATTTCACCATGGTTTTGAAATATAAAGAAAAATCGCATCATAGAGTAAGTTATTCTAAAACAATATCTCCCATAATTTTCAAAGTGCAATTAATGTTAACCATGTATGTTAAAATTATACTAATGTGCCGTGAATTGCTATAATGTTCTTAGTAGTTCTACGTTAAAGATTCGTCTTTAAGTTGTAACTATTTATTGACAGATCAAGATTAGAACCATTCAAATATTAGAAAGGATAAAACAATGATTTTAACTTAGCAATTGGCTCACAACCGAATAAATATGTGCACGCCGCAATCTCAGGCACTTGTGTCAATTCAACACTTAAGAAAGTGTGTCATGTAGTAATAGAAGTTCCACAAGAGGAAGCCCGGCGAGAAGTTTATTGGTCGAAGTTCTAGTTGAAATATAAATTATCGAGAAAGCCGACTATGGGATTTGAGATGTCGAAAGTCGTCGCAAGTATATATATCATTATTAAGATTATAAAAACAGAACTTACTAGAAAAAACTCACAAAAAATAAAAGGCAAGGAAAATTTCATTTTATG